TTTCAGGATGTGAGCCTAAAGCCCACAACCCATTCACCATTCGGGCTTGAGGGTGCTACCCCAAACCCTAAACCCGAGCCGCGGTGGGCACTTTTTGCGCGTGCGCCACCGTCAGCGCGAAAGTGGGTTTTACAGAAACACCAGCCTACAGTGGATGGGCAGATGGCTAGATGGGTTTTCTTGAGAAAGCCTTTGATGGGTACGTCCCACATTAAGATCCAGCACCGCAGTATCATATAGCTCCCCCTGACCCAAGCATCCCATTTGCTCCGCATTTCTGCGCCCGACGCACGCGAAGGCCTGACCTTTGCAACATGAAGGCCTAGGCAGCGAGAATCAAGTGGAGAGCGGGGCAATTGTTTTTTCAAGTGTCGAAGGAGTCAGAAGCCCGATCAAGGCAGTCCCAACGCAGGCTCTAAACCCTCTACACCCTAGAGGCCCTAAACCCTAAACCATGCCAGGGAATCCTGGCTGCCAGCCTTCCGACGTAGGGTCCGAAGTCCCCGTTGAAAAAACCGAAAGTTGGCAAGTGCAAATGCCGTAGGTTCGCGCCAATCTGCCTTCTTCGTGCGTTAGCCCCCTGGATCGTGGTGCAGCGTGCCCTGCACTGACCATCTAAAGTCAGACTTAAGCCGATCAGGATGGCAAACAGACTCCGGCAACCTTCGCCGAACTTCGTCTTGGCCTGTGGGTGTTCCAGGGCCTGCCCGGGCTTCCTGCTCATCTCCCCCATTCCTGAGACGTGCGCATCCCTTATCAAGCAAGAGCCACTGGTGGGCCTTGCCTTGCCTTCGTCATCCTTTCATAGGACTTGATGTAGTGCACAAGCTCCTATGACGCTCAACCCATTTGTGCCACCAAGGATCTCCAACTCTCAAGACAACCTCTATCTTCTCAGCGGAGACCCCTGCTGTCAGGATGGAACTTCCCACATACTGACCTGTGACACTCCAGCTGTGTCATAGGGACATAGATGGTCGGAATCGCTGGGGTTCTGCCTGAAGAATCAGCGAGTTAAAGAGTTTAGAAGGGTTGGTTCCGGTTTAGGGATCGTGTTTAGGGATCTGTGCGGCAACTCGAGCTGCCGCTGCGGGGCCAACTTGGCGCAGGGTAGCTGGGATTGCGCAAGCATGGACCAAACAAATGGAGCATGCCAACGAGCGTTGGCTTTATGCTTTCTGCTAACCCGACGCATTCAGGTGTCGACGCTTTGCTGCTCGCATTAAAATCATTCAAGTCGGCAAATGTGGATTTGCCGTGGGTTTGCATCTGAGCCCGCATTGCATCAGCCATGAGGCGTCAGGATTTCTAGGTGTTCAAGCTTCCAAACTCGAAGCTGCAAGCTTGCTGCAAGCTTGTACAGCATCGGTAAAAGTCGCTAGACTCCTTGGAGAGACCCCAAGTCACCTAAGTGGGCGCACGAAAGCAGCGATGTCCATTGCTTCCATCTCAACAGTGTTTGTCCAATATGTCCATTATGCCACCGGGCGGCGCAGGCTCATGGGCATGGCGCGGTTGCAGAGCGCACAAAGTGCACAGTGTTTGTCCAAGTTAATGGGGGGTCATACCGGAGGGTTCCGCTCGAGGATGGGCATGGCAGTGCTGCAAAGCAAAGAAATGGAAAGAGACACCGACCGAGCAGCGCGCAAGGTCAAGCCAAGCATTGAGAGCAGAGACGATGCGCCTTGAGCGCTACGTCGACTTGGGCAAAGCGGCCTTGCATCACCAGGCGCGCATTTGCCAACAGATCCCGACCTAAATCGTCCATTCGGCTACAGCAATGGTTGCCAAAGAAGTGTGGAGGGCCTGGATCTCGCACTTCACGTCAGGTCTTGGCATGAGTTGACCTTCGGAAGTACTTGTGCGGACTTCGATCTTTGGCATCTTTTGCGCGTGAGTCGAAAAATGATGTGCTGAAGCAGGGAGGAGAAACCCGTAGTGAGCTTCTCCGTGCGGTTTATTGGGCTGAAGGCATATCAAGGCATGACGGTTCGGCTATGCAATACACAAACTTGATGTTGACGAAAAGTAATGAAGGTCTTCGTGCATTCCATGAGCTTCAGATTTTGACAGATGTTAGTTTTGAAGCCCCCATCACACCGTAGCAGACGGCGTCCTGCAGGCGAAAGGCAGCACGGAAGAGAAATCACAAAGGGAGACAACCGGGTCGACACTGAGGGCTTCAGCTTGATTTCGGAGCTTAAGGGAAACGCAACCAAATTATTTTATTTCGAACATCCCCACCTTAAGGATTTGGGGGTTGGGCACTCAGGGAGTCTCTGGGGTTGGGCACTCCAGGGAGACTCTGGGGTTGGGCACTCCAGGAGTCTCCGGGTTGGGCCTCCAGGGAGACTCTAGGAGTAGACCGGCGAACTTCCACGACCCCATCTACACGCCGGCCACGAACTACACACTGAGTGCGAGCAGCAACACCAGCCAACCGGCGAAATGAACCGGGGAGCAAACAGTTTAGGCCCCAGTGAAACTGACTGGGGGCCAACAACACACAAGCTCAAACGCGGCCCTGTGACTCGAACTTGAAGCGCCTGGCTGTCGTGGCCGGGGGCCTCCCTCAGGGGGATGCTGTAAGCGTGGAGGAGGAGAAGAAGAAGAAGAAGAAGAAGAGGAAGAAGAAGAAGAAGAAGAGAGAGAGAGAGAGAGAGGGAAGGAGGGAGAGAGAGGGAGGGAGGGAGGGAGAGAGAGGGGGAGAGAGGGAGAGAGAGAGAGCGCGAGAAAGGGAGGTGTGTGTATGGGAGAGTGAACAGTGTCAACGGTCGGCTGTTGACCCACAAGCGCAGCTGCACCTGGACTGCTGCTGAGATTCGTTGCCAGGCGTGTGATCTTGAAGCTTGGCGTTAGCATTGACAGCTTGGCCGTCGTTGGTCGACTTCGGGCCGTCCGGAAGGGTCTGGAAAATCGAGCGTCGCGCAACGAAGCAGGGAACATCATGTCAGCCACTGACCAGAAAGTCAGCGCCTACTCCTTGCTGATTGTACCTCTGAGATGCCAAGCATGCCGTCCTGCCCAATGAATGGAGCAATTCAAGAACCGTCAGTTCCCCCTAGAAGCCCTGGCCTGAAACCACCCTGAACTCCAAGCCCCCAAAGTCCTTGATTCTCAACCCCCTCACTCCTGTACCTCCTTAAGTGAACCCTGTGCTTCTACACGGCGGTACTCGAGAAGCCGGAGACCACCGCCCGCCTGGCTCAGTTTGCTTTCCTTTCAGATGCGGCTTCCGAAAATTGAGGGGTGCCCTCCCTGGAATCCTTACAACAAAGGTTGTATCAGAGTATAGGGTACCCTTATGCATGGGATCAGTTCTCTAATGTTTTGTTGTTTGGGAGTGCAGATGATGCAAGGGGTGCCATGTTGCAAACAGAGACCGTTGTTTAGAGGACTGGCCATTTCTGAAGCTACTTAAGCCTCCGTATAAGGAATCCGAAATTCCCGAGTTCAGAGGGAGTTTAGAGCGGGGAAACATGTTGCGTGTGGATCTTACAGTCACAGCTGCGGCATATGTACATATGTGAACAATATCAAGCAATACTTCACAACAAGCAAACGTAGCTCTTGCAGCTAATGCTGCATAAGCCTGAACTCCGGTGACGAGGGCAATCCATCGCAAATCCTGAAACCGCTGGAAGTAAGCCGGAAACCCAGCGTTCAGCAGCTTCAGCAGGCTGCCCCCGGCACTTGTCCTCGAAAAAAATTGCAAGCCCTGGCTTGCGCAGTTTGGAGATGGCAGGTTGCAGCCAAGGGCCCCTCGATGCTGGGGCTAGGATGCAGGCTTCAAGAAACGCTGCGCACGATCATCAGATCTGAGCTAGCAAACCCACTGAGAGCACTTCTTTCCGAATGTAAGTAGTTCCGAAAACGACATCTTTTGATGTTCAAAGCCACGAACCCAAAACCTTGAAGTCCCAAAGCCAAAGTTCTCCAGCACTGAAGCACATGGCTCAGACTGGGGCTGCGGCCGCCTTGAAGTCTTGAGTTTTGTTGGGGTCTTTATTGGGCTTTATTGGGTTGTTGGGCTCGGGTTGAGCTTCTCGGTTTATGGGTGTGGGGGGTGGGGTGTGTATACTACATAGTGGTGATGGTGATGATGATGGTGATGATGATGATGTTGACAAATCCGGGTCTCCGGGGCTTCAGGTTTAGGGGGTCAGGGATGCAGGAGGTCAGTAGTCATATGATGACACACACACAAACACATGCGCAGAGACAACATCCACTTTTGCAGAAGTTTCAGAGTACCCGTGCATATGACACAGTTGACATCAAAGCATGCTGGAAGATGCACAACACCTCTGTGGGACCTCTGCAGTTTTGAGCCTGGGAGGGGTGACTAGGACACGCTTTCTGGACCAAGGTGAGCATTTTGGACCTTCAGGTCAGAATTCCCGGATATTGGGTGGCAGATTGCAGGATTTAAGCAGCATCCATGAGCTTGAGAGGCATGAAGGGTTCTGGGGTAGGTCTGAGGGATCTGCGGGGTTTTAACGAAACCCGAACGTGCAAGAATTTCAGCATCTCGTCGTCGTCATCATCATCCGCATCGTCCCGAGCATCCGCATCATGCTCGCCGTCATCGTCTCCACCATCTTTTTCGAACCATCAAGCTTGGCAGCGACTCCGAGGATGCTGGGGGGCGCCATCTTCTACAGGTCCAGCGCCCCGCAATGGAAGGGTGGAGGGGCTTCATCGGAATGCCTTCCGTCGTTGCAGTGATGGTGAGCCGTTAAAGGTGTGACAGTATGTGGCAGTTGTCATCGTAGTAGGTGGTGGTAGACGTTGTCTCGGTCGTTCATGCAAGCTTTCATCTTCTTCGCATCGCCGAATCATCTGTTGCCATCATAGTAGCAGAGGCAGTTGCCAGTCCGGGCGATTTGTGTGGATGCGGATGCAAGCAAGGAAACCGCGGGTGGCGAATAGGTCCTGCAACGCCTGCGACTTGAATCGGGGGTTGCAGGTATCCAGAAAAGCACAAATTATTAGATTGGATGCGAATCCTGTCAGAATTTGTGAAGGCCTGTGACGATCAAGCTGATAGGCTCAAGGGTGCCAAGGAAAGCGAACTCTCGGGGGAGCCAACAAGGGCGCCAATGCAGCGCCTCGTCGGACTGGTGCTCCCCTCTGTGCTGTTCCTAGCATCCCTGGTGCTTTCCGAGCACGGCCAAAGTGCCAGCCCAAGTGTGCCTGATGTTTGTGATGAGGCCCCTTTGCTACAGGCCTCAGTCGATGACCTGAAAAGAACCAGGACATCCAGTGAGGGCAACTGCTCTATGACCTTGGCCGGTTCGGAGATTTACGTTCTTCGTGCTGTCGGGTTTGCTCGAATAGAAATCATCAGGGATGGCGACATTGACTCTGGCACTGTGACCGTCTTGTACGAAACACACGATGGCACTGCAAAGAACTGGGTTGACTACGTACAGCAGTGGGGCGAGCTCAACTTTTCCCCGGGTGGTCGCTCAGCGCATGTGGACATAAATCTGTACGGACCTGTGACCATGAACGAAACGGTCCCCAAGTTCTTCTACTTCCATCTGACGAAGGCTGTCTGTGGCAGCTGCACTGTGTCCCTTGGTAAGTACACAGAAGCCAAAGTGTTCATTCTGCACAATGAGGGAGCCAATGGAGCTCAAGGTTGAAGCTCGCAGAACACAAGGCAGAGCCTAAAATAGGAATCAATGCACAGAGCAGGTGGGCGCTCGTGTAGCCTTTTAGCCAACCTGCTATCGGAAGTTGATTCCTGGGCTGATGCAGTTGCCAACTCGTGACAAAACAAGATCCTGAGGTTTAGAAAGAACTCGGGATCTTCTGATGAGTTGAGGATTGAAGTAGGGCATAGCCGAATGTCCATTCATTCGGCCCGTTTCCTCCCGACATGCACACAACAGTTCCCTGTAAAACGTGTGTTCCCTGTAAAACGTGTGTTGTCTTATTGTCTTCATAGCATCAATCATCTTGTAGCATCGTTAAAAATCAAATGCCTCAAAAGAATCTGAAGCCTTTTGCAACCTAACAAGGCATATCATGGTCGAGATGGTCCCCTCAGTGTGTATGAGCTGCACTGTTGCAAGCGCCCGTGTCAGCTCTAGCAGAGGACATTGTCGCGTGCAGCCTTGTGCTTGTATAACCTCCACCAGGTCACTTCACTTGTTTAGGGCTCTGTCTCCATGGATGGCGTTGGGATCTCTAGCATTCTGCTATAAATTGGTCGACGGTGGCTTGACCTGTTGCAGCAGTTTCTTGGATTTCAAGTCATAGCACGTGTTCTGCCTCCGACCCCAGAGGAGGGGGGTTGAAAGGCTCAAGAACGTTATTTTTCCTCGTGATTCGGCGGTGTTCAAATTTTGGCGGGAAGAATGACCGTTGAGGTTAATATCTGAATGGTCAGGACGGTCATTGTGGATGTCACGCACTGGGCACAGCCTCAGGTTTGAGTGTGGCTTGCCTCCATCATGTTGACCCCCAAAACTGTAAACACCACGCCCCCAGCTGTGAACACACCATGAGCTTTCACCCAGCTGCTCCCATCGTAAGCCTCGGATAGTAGCACCAGAAAGAATATCCTGTTTTTGTACTTGGCCGTGTAGCCTCACATGGTAATGAAGAGGGTTCGCCGCTGCAGAGTCTTCAGATAGGAACCCGCTCTGTTGCCTGTGTGGCCCGAGGTGATGTAATGGGGGTTCCTACTTGGCCTTCAAGTCAACTTTGGTTGAGGTGCGGAAATCATGGAATGCGGCAGCCAAACAGCAGCAATTGAGACCCAGAACCGCTGACCACGGGCCGGCTACAAATTGAAACGGGATAGTGGTGTTGAGTGGTGTTGACGCCGGCCATCTATGCAAGCCAAGTTGGATTGAGCTGTGAATTGGAGAGCCACTTGCGTTCTGCCACAAGTTCCTACTCCCTAAACATCGGCAGGCGGCCGGTGCACGCTTGCAGCGTGCAGTTAAAACACAGATCACATCAGCTGGTGGTGCTCTCATGCGAAGTCGCCCGCCAAACTTTCTTAACAAAAGATCTAGGGCATGGGCAAAACCACTGAGTTCCAGAATGAGGCTTCTGATGCTCTGCATCCCGGAGCGCTGGGTAGTGAACGTGCTGTCAGACAAGTCGAGTAATTAGAGAGATTCAAGAGCCCATTTCGGCTTTGGGCTCCTGCGCTGCCGCACGCTGAAAAGCATTGAATCACCGGCCATGGTGCGGCCATGCACGTTGTTGCGCTCGTGGTTGCACAACGACCCTTGCAACATCAGACACGCAACATTGGTGTCTCAGTTGGTTCCGGCGTTTGTCGTAGTCGGGTCTCGTGATAAGCACTGGCATATAGTGAAAGGTCTTTTGTTCTCGAGTCGACTACGGTCTGTCTTGATCGGGACTGCTCCCATGGGTGCCCAAGGAATCGCAGGCCCGAAGCCCAACCGAAGAACCGCAAACACCAAAGCCGAACTCACAAAGCGACAAGCCCCGAAACCCCGAACCCAAAGAAGTCTGAACTCACTCCGCCTCAGAGAAGAGCAGACCAAGGATTGGTTGAGCTGGGGAGTGGGGCCCTTCTTGGCGGTGAACCTTGGTTACTTCGGCACCTGCGGGCTGCTCCTGGGTCTAGTGGGAAAACGTTCAGCAGATAGGGATGCCATAAGGGCCAGGAGGGTTTTTATCAGAGGGCATAAACACTAAACCCTAAGCCACGTAGAAGGTGTTGACTACGGCTCCTGAACTCAGGCTCGAGGCGATGATCCGCAGCGGCTGCGCGCGGGAGCGAGGGGGCCATTGTCGATCTAGCCTGTGGGGAAGTCAGAGGGTTCCTACGTCCAGCTGAGCCTTGCAGCCTACACCATGCCCGTGAACCTGCGTCAAGTTAAACCCAAACTCTACACCCCCAAACCTGAAGCCCACACCCATAACTTTAAACGTGAAACAGGCAGAGCTTCGCAACCTTACCTCGAAATGCGTTGAGGAAGAGCAGTGCAAACGTTTAAACCCAGTCTCTACATCTAACGCAGCAGATGGACCCCTGAAAAGAAAGGAGTCCTACATCGAGTACGGTCAGCCGCGTGAGGCCGCCTTGGAGAAGACGCGACGCTCGGCCCAAAGAGCCGGTACCGGAGAAAACTTTGGTGAGCCTCTTGGGGTTTTGGAGAGGTCGGAGAGGCAAAACGTTCCGGGTTCGGCATCCTTCGACTGGGTTACAACTTGCCTGTGACACTGAAAATGGCTTTGTTGTGGTGCGGGAAGCTGCAGTTGTTCGGCTGTTCGATGGTCTGTGTAGCCGATGCCAGCTGGGGTTCTAGCTGCAATGCGGTGGCTCGAAGCGGGGATCATCTGACCCGCGTGTGCTTCCGAGACCGTGCTTCTCTTAGATGGGACTTGCCGAGCTCGCCAATCTGTTCTTGTGCGTACTCCGCCAGCTTGTTCATGAAATTAATCATGTTCTTCTGTTTGCTGTTGATTGGGATGTCCTGCTTCCATGCCAACGTGTTGGCCGCCAAGTCCACGTCAATCTTTCGGTTAGGGAAGGAAGGCACTGAGTAGCTCGCTGGCGAATGCCGCCTCCTGGACGCCCTTGAAAGATGCAATCCCAAAGGCACTTCTGTGGGCTACCCACCGCAGCCAGTGGGAGTTCCATCTGTGACGGATCACTACAAGGAGGTTTGATTCGCGGTGTGGTTCAGCCGTGAGCTTTTGCCTTTTTGATGGTCCTGGGCAAAACCAGCCCGTAGGCCCGTAGGACAACCTGCAGTCCCAATATGTTGGTTTGGTCTGGTACTCGTGTGGAATTGTGTGTCAATGGCAACGAGCTCTGGGTTGGTGCTGGGATGGGTTTGGAAGTGGGTGCAGCGTGGCAACGTGGGCAGTGGTTGGGTGTGGCGAGTTGCAAGTTTCCTGGTGGATCTGGTGGAAATTGCTGAATTGGGGAGGGGGGGAGGCGGGGGAGGGACTGTAATCGACACAGGAGGCACCAGTTGCAGCCAAGGTGCCCCGAACGTCATCTCTGTAAATGATTGTAAATGAAGGCGTGAGAGCGAAGTGTCGCTGCTGGCACCGACTCCCGAGAAGACTTCTGGCGTGCATCCACTACATGTGTTTCTGCTTGGTGCCAGCGGGCCGCTTCTCAAAACGTGCTTGTCGTACTGTCATGCGGCGTCGCTGATCTCTAGTACCTCGCTGCAGGGAAAGCTACACCCGCCTTGCAACTACCAAAACCCTGCCTATGACCTTGCAGAAACTTTCAGAGCCCAACACACGCCTGAAACAAGAAAATGCAAATCCTAGGTTTGCACGTCCTGAAGCGCTCCAGCGAAACCGGACATCCCCCAGACCCTTGCAGTCGTATGTCGTAAGCCCCAGACCTTGCAAGCCACGATCCCCTAGGACAGAAGGTCCCCTTGTGGACCCAGCTTCGCGGCAGTGTTTGGACCATGCTCGGCCCAGTCGCCATTGCCAACGCTGGTTTGGCGGCTGTCGTGCTCCCCCAGGCGGAGAAAAGCCGTTCGAACAGGTTTCAGGCTTTCAGGCTTTGCCGGTTTCCTTTGCAGAGGTTTCTCGATGTTAACGGCAAACGTGGTCTGTGTAAGACTCGGGGTGGATTGAAGTTTCTAAGTCTGTAGTTGGTCGGCGTTTTGCCTGCAGGGGGCTGCATATTGAAAACTACAATGGACCCTGTTACCCCTTTTGCTGGTGAGCACATGAGCCCCTGGCTAAAATAACCTTCTAACTCGTGTTCGGGCTTAGACAAGAGAACTTTGTGGCGGTGTCTGTTTAGGACGGTCCAATGGTAATGACTTATGTATGCGGCTTACTTGGCCTCGCTACCAAGGTTACCATGAATCACCCATCGATCGGACTCTCTTTCCTGTGTAATTGCGAAGGTAAATTGACAAGAACATGGGCGCGACGAATTACATCAGTGTGTGAAAGTGTACAGTGTTCTTTGGGGTTCCACCCTCCGAACCCCCTTCGCCCCCGCACGATCCCTCCGCCCTCCACACCCCAACTCCTCCAAACCCTCCGAGCCCTGAAATCCCTCTGAACCTCTCAGGTTGTGGGCAAGGGTCGATCTTTTCCGCTGCTTCCGGGGCTGTGGGAATTTCTGGGCCAATTCGTCGCGATGGAGCTCATTGGCCCCTTGGCCTATGGCTAAGGGTTTTGTGACTTAGGGCTGTTGGGTCACATCGCAAGGTCAGGCGAGGCCACAGAAGAGATGATGTTCAAATTCAAAGGTCAGCCCGAAGGAAGCTCTAGAAACTCCTTTGACAACTATACCCACTTGGAAGCTGGTATGCGGGTCTCATAATTTTAGCGCTACGCGACCCGCCTCGGCCCGGCCCAGCGCATCCGCGTGAGCATGGTGATTCCGCAGCGCCCAAGTCGCTGGACCCCAAGCAATAAGGGTTGGGTTGAGGGTTGAGGGTTGAGGGTTCCGGGTTTATGGTTTGGGGTTTGGGGTTGAGGGTTCGTTTGGGGCTCAAGGTTCACGCTTTGGGTTGAGGGTTTTTTTGGGTT